AAGAAAGAGAGTGACGAAAGACGAGAGAGAAATAAACGTGTCGGAAGGAAGATGAAGCGATTCTTGCCGAATGGATGCCGCGGAGAACGAAAGGAAAGATCGGACTAGGGAAAGGGGGAAACGGCGAGCAGGAAAGTTGTCCAAATAACCGACGTGGAAACGCGGGCTAATGACTACTTTTTCATATTTTAATTACGCAGTAATTAATTGAAATGTTTCCTTGTTCGCGAGAGCACTCGAGCAAAATGAGAGGCGAGTAACTCTCCGCTCCGCGTAGTCAGCTTCGACTCATTTTTTTTCTTTCCTTCCGTACAACTCCGCGAGGCTCTTCTGTCTCTGCCGCGTTCGACCCGAGGATTTCCCATTTTCTTCGTTCTTTCACCCTTTCTCGCGAAATTAGGTAAAAACCTTTGCACGGAGCTGGTTTCTCTTTTAAAAATCCCAGCGCACGGCTAATTGTACTGTTAATGGCCTTATCGTCTGACCTCCGTATCCTTCCTTGCCGCAACCATCTTCCTCTCCCCTCCCCATTATCCGCAATCGGGTGCATCGTGTTTAAGGTACTAATTAAATTAGTTTCGTAAAGCGAAACTCGTCGGCCAGACATTCGATGCTATCGATTCGTGGCAATAATTAAAATAATTACAGATGTTCGCCGGCAATTGCACCGATACTGTGTTGCAATAAATTGTCGGGATATTGTCGATGAACGTCGGAAATAGCTATCGAACTTTAAAACTTAGAATATAAATAGAGATAATTGAAAAACTGTTTGAGTACTTATATTCCATTACTATTAATAAAAAAAAGTAATACGTGTAAATTTCACTGACTGAGATTATAGACTAAGATAAATTATCGTCATTCATGAATCATGTGATCGGATATTGGAAACAAGTATTTCTCGGACTCCTCTTTCTGCATTCGGTTTTCTGCAGATTTCTCCACCTTTACCTACTTAACTATAAAGTTAACTACAAGTTAAAAAACTTAAAAACTGGAACGATAGAAAAAAAATTCTAGGAATTAAATGGCGAATGAGCACGTCGCATGATGATCGTTGCATGTTGGAAAGCATTCGCGTAGTTTTCCAACAACTTAATCTTCAGTGGTCTTCTTGTTGCGGTTGTTTTCTAGAAGTTTACTCTCCATCCAGTATTCCGGAGGCAGCTGTCTCGATATCTCGAGAAGTACGAAGGACGCTTCGTTACTCGTTATCTGACACTGACGCTTGTTGCCGTTGCAAGGGAACAATAGCGGAGACGAGAAGTAAGAAGGAAACGGCGAAAGATAGCCAAAACGAGGAGTGGTAGGCACGCTTTTGTTAGGGAGTACGCTTGCTTGCTACGTGCAATTGTCATCTACTTGTTCCAGCCATTGTTTCCGGTAACTCTTTCGCGGTAACGAGGAGGAACCTCAATTAGAACGGTTTGAGGACTTAAACGCCCAGAGGCTGCCGGGTTTTAAGAGGCAGCGAACATTGTTTCTTTTGAGCGATAACTCGGTGATACTTTTAGCCATATCGGTGCTGTGTGAAACGTCGTCCATCAATTTCTTTAGAGAAGATAAAGATGTATTTGAATGTATCACTGTATCGTTGCACCCTTTATGTCGAAATGTCGTTAACGTTACTGCGAATTGTTTTTTTTTAAATTATATCAACAGCCAACTAGTTACCAATATTATTGTGAATAAATAAAACAAAACGGAAGATTATTTTAAAAATTCGTGCATCTTAAAAAAAAATTTGATATTTTGATTACACATTACATGTATTTAAGATGATTTTGGAATAGTTTCTAATGGATTTCAAATAGTTTTGAATACTGTTAATAGTATCTCACTGGACAAGTTTCGAATGCAAATATGTTATTTAGTTAAAGACTGATCATTGGCTAATCTTGTTCTTGGTTAATTGTGATTGCAGGAATAATAGAAACGTGTGTTTTCAGTGTGTTCGCAGCTAGTATCCTGGAAACTTGGTACGTGCTTTGACATTAACTCATCTGTCTATAACTTCGATGAAAACATCAAATCTCATTTAAACCTTCTTAGCATTTATCACTTTGACATAATAAATATCAAACCAATTGTTTGACCTATTCTGCATAAAATACGAAATATATTGATTTATCGATAAAATGCAGAATGTACTTATAATATATTTGGTAACATATTATAAACATTATTGGTACGAAATATAAGCAATTTTGCAAGCCGTTGATTGAATCGAATCAATATTTGTTTCATTTGAGAGCGGCCACATAGTAGCATACTATATACACTGTGTACATATAGCCGTGTTGTCTGTTATTGGAAATCCATCCGAATATCTGGAATTTTTTTCGGCGGCATGCGCGACTCGTTTTATGATTGCCTGTGATGCACAGGCAAAATTAAGATATACAGAAGACGAAACACGTTCAATGAAAAATAATAAATTCAGACAAAGAAGAAGTGTGATATCTTGCGTCCTATTCTCGCCATTATTTTCTGAAATTTTTAATTAATACCTTCGAGTTAAAATACCTTCGACAAACAGCAGGTGTTTAGATTCATTGGCAAATTCAAATCTTTTGTTGCTTATTTCTGTCTTCTTTGATACTTTCTTAGAAACGTAATTGATCTTCCAAGAAACTGTGGAAAACACGAGAACAACATTCACGATAGTGAATCGTTACTAGCATCCTGGTAAGAATACTGAAGTGGAATACGTATCTATCGCTAGATTCCAAGTCCTGGAGATTCGTGCGAGTCCCTTTTCGAAGTTATGAAATCCTGATAGTGCGAATGCTTCTGGCGCCACGCAGTTGACGAGTGACAGGACATTGATGAGTCTCGGAGGTTATTACGTTTCCTTGAATGGAAAAGAAATCTTTCGTTTGATTGGCCGAGAGAAAATTTCGTCTTATATGGAGTCTTAATCGATGAAACGCTTATGCTTAATGCTTGGAAACTTGTGAAAATTCAGGAAGCTTGAAAGCGATCGATTCGACATCGAAATACCTATTCGCATGATATCCTGATGCGATTGGATGTTTGTAAGATATAAACACGTGTCATCACATTGCGAACGCATTGTATTGTGTGTATGCGTGTACGCGTGTGTTTTTTCTTATTTACGGTGAATGAAAATAAATGAAGGATTGTCTTATTTTTAAAAACAAAACTAATAATAATCGAAAAGATTTCGAGAAAAAACTTAAAAAAACTAAAATATGTTTAGCAATATGTATTTTGTAAATACATTATAAAATATGTCTTATGTCTCAGATATTGAAAGTTGGAAATTGACATAATCCTAATAAGATGATTGTTACGATGTTATGCCAGCCTAATGCATCTGTAATACCAGCCAAATAAAAAAATATTGCAGGCTGGCATAACATTCCTGCATATGTGTGATCTCATCTGTGGTATGATGATCATGTAATACACATTTCATTTTCAATGCATATTCGGCATATCTATAGAGTATAGGATTGCAGATTTTCCAGTAGGATAACGCATATCGAAAACAGAGGTCATCTTGCCGTATTTCATGTGCTTCCTTCTATCCTAATACTCAAGCTTATTTCGCCTTTTGAAGTATTTTCTAATAACTTGAGATACATCTTTGTTCTTCACGTTTTTCTTTCTTTTATCTTTCTTTTATCAGTGTGACGAGTGCAGCAAATTTCTAGGAAATATATTTAAACACAATCGCTACATTTTCCTGATATGTAAAAGATACTATATACTATGTAAAGCATATGGATATCCTATCCAGCATCTTTGTAGTAAATACTAAATACTCAATAAAATATAATATTTACGTTAATGAAATTAATTCAACCAGATTGATTGTTTAACAACATACAACTACTTCAGAAAATAAATAAAACAGAAAATAAAAATTAATTAGTTATTCTCCAGAATTCCAAAGTCACGAAAATATTCTTGTTCAGTTTAGAATTATTTCAATATTTAAAAGATAATTTTATATTAAAATATTTTATACTAAAATTGTTTTAACATTTGTACGGTACTTTTTTACCTCTATCTGATTTCTACTTCCCTTAACCCATGTTTCCTCTTTTCTTCCGGGGTCTACACAGTTTTACTACATTTTACAGAAATAAGTTCCGATCGATAAATGAACTGTGCAATTTATGTTTATACAAGTTTCGATTAATGTTATTTATGAATTCCATTTTTATGCAAAAATAAACAATAAATTACAAATCCTTGTTTTTTAAATAAAGTACTCAAAATTGTTTGTTGAATAAAATGATGCTTATTCTTGTAACTAATCCACGAATGATTCGATAATATTATAGGAAGAATACATCTATCACGTTTTTCCTAATATACAAGACACTAAGTAATTTAACTTTCTCTTCAAAAACGTAAAGGTTTTATTAACTGGTGGGTAAAGCAAGCAGGATTTCATCTGTTTGTAGCAAGTTTTGCATTTTGCAATCGCGGGCGACCTATCCTATCCTATACGTTCTTAATCCGGAAATATGCTTCGCGTTTGAGGTAATTATTCTCATTAATGTAGGCATGTGATGTCCTTAATTCAACTATACACTGTATATTCAACTGTACTCTTTTCTTAACAAGATAAGATTCTGTTCACTTCCATGTCGATATACTGTCCGTGGTGCGATTCCCAAACAGGTTGACGTATCATCTACGTTATCCTCGATCCTACTCCTAAATATCAAAGGATATCACTAAAATTTATCAACATCGAAATTATTGAAAGAAAATGCAAGAACTATATTTCTTAAATTTCGTATCGAGATTTATTCATATTAATAATTTTTTCTTTAAATGATAAAAATTATAAAAATAATTCTAAACATTGTATGTATTAAGAAATTCATACATGACACCATGCAAATGGTGTGATGTTGTGAAAATAAGATGCTCCGCGTATTAGGATAGCAGGACGTGCTAGGAGTATCCCGTTTCCTACCCCTACAGAAGACCAAAATAGGATCACTGGTTATGAATTAAATAAAAGTGTAGGTTGTCTCGGGTGCACGTATATTATCGAACACACTAGAATCTGGTTCATCATCAGGATCAAATTCGATAGTCATGGGATCAATCACAGGTGGAGGTTTTGGTACTCTTGATTGCCAGGATGAAATTGGACGCATTATAATTGCTTCTATTTGTTCTCGAACGATTCTTTCTTCTTCATTACCATCGATTTTTATCGCAGATTCGCCTGCATACTCTATCATATCAGTCACGTTTTCTTCATACTCCTGAAGCTGTAATTTTGTAGAAATTATTATAATTTTGTAAAATTGTAGAAATAACAATAAAAAGTAGTTTTAATTATAAATTTTGTAAAATTGTAGAAATAACAATAAAAATTAGTTTTAATTACATCTCGTTCAACGACTAGTCTGAGATCTCTAGGATGTATAGTTAATTTACAGTCATCGTTATCGGCATAATTTGTTGTTGACAAAATATGCTTGCTTCCAGTGACAAAATTGTATCTACGATTAAGCAGTCTTTCTCTACAGACGTCACCATCTACTTCTACAAATATTACTCTAAAATTTTTATCACAAATACTTTGAACATTTTCACGAATGCTTTGAATATTTGTCTTGCTTATTTACCTATTTGGGGGTGTAGGATTTAAGTCTAGTAGTTTAAAATCTTCTACGGTTTTTGGATAACCAGTTAAAACCCAACCCCTTTTTAAACACTCATATTCAGATAAATATTTCTGGAAATATTAACATTATAGCAATCATTGATGCCAAAAATTAGTTAGTTTTTTATTAGTTTTTTCATACTTCAACGACTTGTATCCTAAATTCAGGTTTGGGTCTTTCTCCCCATTTTTCCTCAAATATTCGAAGCAATTTTCCTAAAGAATTTTGTTGTAAACGTGCTTGGTCCATAATTTGATCGTAATCAACTAAAATAGATAGCAACATTTATATTTATAAAGAATTACATATTAAACAATAAAAAGTTAAAATAAATAAAAGTTACTGTGAACGAGGTTGAATCGTTCGGCCAAGTATTTTGCTAATGTAGTGCACCCAGATCCTCTAGATCCAACAAGCGCAATGCGGAAAAGTGACGGTGCTCCACAATGTTTTCTTATTTTTGTTAATTTTGCACAATCTTTTCCAAGTTCATCGATGGACCTAATACCTACTTCAACTTCCTTGAAATCAAATATTTTTAAAGTAAAAAAATTTTGTTTTCGCTATTCATCAATATATAAAGATTAATTAATAATTATTTAAAGTATAAAGTATGTAAGAACATAAACTATAAAATATGTAAGAACATAGTCTTATGTTCTTCTTACTATTATTTTTTCGCATCATTCATATTTTTCGAGACATGTGAATATTTCTAATTAAACTGGACACATTGTCTATTTATCCATTTAAGTTACTAAAATTAATGTAAATCATTTTTAAAATCCAATTTGTAATCAGCGATGTAAAAAATCTATAGTAACTTATAAAATTTAAAAATGTCAAAAATTTTATATTGCTCCGGACCAACGAAATTATTTTAATACAAACCTATATATTCTGTATAACATGCTGATTCTATATGTATGAAAATTTTTTGAAGAAGAAAATCACTATTATACAGTTTTTTGTGAAAAAATGCCGATTCCTGAAAGATTAAAAGTGTAACTAACAATTAAACAATGTCCGTATACTTCTCGTAAGTCTCGCAAATTTTTTAAGTAACGACGATGTTTCATATTTTTCAAAGTATTTGTAGGATCACATGTTTTATAACAAGCGAACGTGTCTGTACAAATTTTCGAATTTCCTAGAACAACAAAAATTATATAAATTTATCGAATTTAAGAATATAATATTCTTTCTTTTTACCAGTGTTATTTGAAACTATAAGTTGTATCACGTGCGTTGGTATTATTCCAGTACGTTGGAATATTTGTGCTTCTCTTTTTGTTCTTGGTAAATCTTTGTGATAAATTAGTAATTAAGCATGTCATCCTTTTTAATTATGTTAGAATGTATAGAATATATTACCAACTAATATCCATCCACTTTCACGAAAAGTAGCTTCGCTTTCTAAAATTTTTCTCATTGCATATGCAAGATCCTCCGATTCCTTGCAGTGACAAACATCCTAAAAAAGAAAATTTCCTGAGAAGGTGAAAGAAAAGTATAAATACTTTTCCTTACATCATGTTGAGAGCAAACGTTACGAAGATCTTTCAAGGTTAAGGGATGTACCCCCAATTCTTTCTGAAGAACTTTAGCTAAGGCGATTCTATCTGTTTATAAAAAATATCTTTTCTGAATTTAAGCAACTAAACTTCAGAATAAGCGATTTCAAGAAATTTAATTTTGTCTACCAAAATTTGTAGGTGCAATGAGGATAATGTTAGAAATATTAAGCTTCTTAACAGCAAGTTGAAGGTATTGTTTCATAAATATAACATGATCTTCGGGTTTTTGAATCATTAATTGAATTGCTATTTCCTATATATAGTAAGACTTTGATAAATTAATTTATATATGTTGGATATATTTATAGTGTATAGGTTATTTACGTAAAATAATTCATATAAGCGATGTTTTTCCATATATGCTATTAATTTTGCGTTAGTGGCACGTCCTTTTTTCTCTATTTCCTGTAATTCCGCCATGATTTATACTAAAATATTCACGTTTAAAAAATTAAATAATACTAATATCTCGTTTTATTGTATCATAAAAATTCAACACATTTATAGTGGTATTTAATATGTTTATTTCAACTGTTATAAATATGTCACAAATATATGTTACAAATAGTGTTACATATATTTAGAAAGAAACATAACATTTATATTTTTTAAATTAATATAATTTTTCTTTCTAATATTTTGTACAAAAAAAAAATTTTGTGGAAAATACCAATTTTATTATTCTTATTGAATAAATATATCTATATTTATAAATCACTACACTATTATAAGATATGCAGAGAATTGGATGGCGCCACGTGTTTTTGTATTTTTTGTGCTACTTAGGCTAGATCTCGTGTAAGTGAATGGTGTGCAATATTGAGGTTAGTTAACCAGGTGCACATTTCAGTATGTCAACCGATAAAAAAATATTGAATGTCACAAAAAAAATATCCGATATGGAAGTGGAAGAAATAGGGAAAAAGTTGACACATAAAGAAAAAAAAAAATTAAAAAAGCAACAAGAATATGAAAAAACGATGGAAATGTTAATGAAAACCGGTGGTCAGGGTCATAGCGAACTTGAAACTAATTTCACTGTTTCTCAGACTCAAAGTCAACAGCGTGGTAATCAACAATTAGAAAATGCTGTCGACATTAAGGTAGAAAATTTTAGCATTGCTGCGAAAGGAAAAGAATTATTTACCAATGCCAGTTTATTAATTGCACAAGGTAGACGTTATGGGTTGGTAGGACCAAATGGGTATGTATTTATTATATTTTTGAAATATTATTTCGATATCTTACGAAATATTTGTTATTTATTTCAGTCATGGGAAAACTACTTTACTTCGCCATATAGCAAAGCGAGCGTTTGCTATTCCACCCAACATTGATGTTCTATACTGTGAACAAGAAGTTATTGCTGATGATACACCAGCTGTAGAAGTGGTACTTAATGCAGATATAAAATGTAAAGAATTAATAGAAGAATGCAAAAAATTAGAAGAGCTAGTAGAACAAGGAGATACTTCTGTCCAAAACAGATTACAAGAGGTAATTTATTAAATATAAACATATTTTAATCATTGTGCTATGATAATATATTTTTTTATAGGTTTATGAGGAGTTAAAAATTATTGGTGCAGATTCTGCAGAGCCACGTGCTAGGAGAATTCTTGCTGGTCTAGGATTTAGTCGTGCCATGCAAGATCGTGCAACAAAAAATTTTTCTGGTGGCTGGCGTATGCGTGTTTCTCTTGCTAGAGCTCTTTTCTTAGAACCAACATTATTGTTACTTGATGAACCAACAAATCATTTAGATTTAAACGCTGTTATTTGGTTAGACAATTATCTTCAAGCTTGGAAAAAAACTTTACTTATTGTTTCTCATGATCAGAGTTTCTTAGATAATGTATGTACAGATATAATTCATTTAGATCAACAAAAGTTATTTTATTACAAGGGGAATTATAGTATGTTTAAGAAGATGTATGAGCAAAAGAAAAAGGAAATGATTAAAGCATATGAGAAACAAGAAAAACGACTTAAAGATTTGAAAGCTTCTGGACAAAGTAAAAAACAAGCTGAAAAGAAACAGAAAGAAGCCTTAACTAGAAAACAGGAAAAAAATAGAACAAAAATGCAAAAACAAGAAGATGACAATGCGCCTACGGAATTATTGCAGAAACCTCGAGATTATATAGTGAAATTTAGTTTTCCTGATCCACCTCCACTACAACCACCAATTCTTGGTCTTCATAGTATGTCATTGATATTTAATATATTGCTTCATATTGTAAGAAATGATTTTGAATGATTTTGAAAATTCATATTTCATTTCAGATGTAACTTTTTCTTATGAAGGACAAAAACCATTATTTATAGACGTTGATTTTGGTATCGATTTAAATTCTAGAATAGCCATAGTTGGACCTAATGGTGTCGGTAAATCTACATTTTTGAAGTTACTAATAGGTGATTTACAACCTTTGAAAGGGGAATTAATAAAAAACCACAGATTAGTAAGTAAAAATAAAAATTAATTTTATTATTTAAAACAACAAATTCGTATATTTAAATTGTTTTATTACTTTTAGAGGATAGGAAAATTTGACCAACATTCTGGTGAACATTTAACAGCTGAAGAAACACCGTCGGAGTATCTCATGCGTTTATTCGATTTGCCATATGAGAAAGCTAGGAAGCAATTAGGAACATTTGGACTTAGTTCTCATGCACATACAATTAAAATGAAAGATTTATCTGGAGGTCAAAAGGCTCGAGTTGCATTAGCTGAATTATGTTTAAATGCACCTGATGTTGTAATTTTAGACGAACCAACAAATAATTTAGACATAGAATCAATTGATGCATTAGCCGATGCTATTAACGATTACAAGGGAGGAGTTATTATCGTCTCTCACGATGAACGTTTAATTAGAGATACAGAATGTTGTTTACATGTAATCGAAAATCAACAGATAAATGAAATTGATGGAGATTTTGATGATTATAGGAAAGAATTGCTAGAAAGTTTGGGAGAAGTTATTAACAATCCAAGTATAGCTGCGAATGCAGCTGTTCTACAATGAATATCTCTCTTTTGTGTAAGATAGTAATATTTTTCAGTGACCCATAAAATTGATTCCTTTAAATAAATATTTTATATATATACATATATTATTTTCTTAATAACAGCTTCTTTTCTATAATGTTACTTGAGGTTTTATTTTATTATATTTAAAATATAACGATTAGTATTTTAAACGCGTGATGTTTTTGATTCGATCATCGTTTGTCATATTTTAATAGTTAAAATATGGCATAATTATATTCATATTTTCAAATTCAATATTGGCAATAATTATCATATCAAAAATTTATTTATAGAATTAAAACATTCTAATTCTTTTAATTTAGTACATGCTTGTCAATTATAATTCGTTTCGATGATTAGATATCAAGTTTTCAGAGAAAAATATTTATATACATGCATGCTATTAAGTTCCACATAATTGTATTTTATATTATAAATATTTACTTTATGTTTGAACAAAAAAAAAATTAAATAATTCACATGTTGATCTTTACTTAAATAAAAAAATGTACATATATGAATTTTGTATAAAAATGAGAATATATATAAAACATATGATACATACATACACACACACACACACCATATAAATATATGTTTAAAAGATGCAAAAATTTCTTTGTTTTGAAAAATTTTCTTATCATGAACTGCTCTAGTGATTTTTAAGAAATTTAAAGAAAGTTGGTTCTACTGAAATGCGTATAACCGGCGGCGCAATGTTCGCTGCCAAAAAGGGCAGACGAGTGATGTGAAAATTGTCAAATATTTTGTGCGAGGTGGTGTCCCGCGGTGAATTTGATAGTGTTTCAAAAGACCGTCGCAATGTCCAGTACTCTGGAGAATAAGATTCTGAATTTACAAGAACGTCTTAGAGCAGAAAATGAATCAAGAGACAGAGATAGACAAAGCAGCGAGGTTGGATCAGGAACTAGCCTTCAATCGTCATCTTCGGGATCTGTTTCAAGTTCTGCTTCACGTCGTAAGTTTGATTCGAATAACATTTGTGAAAATAATAAAATATTTTCTTGACGTCTTTTCTAAAAATTTGCAATTGAATTTTGCTTTCATTACTTACCGTACAGGTTATGTTGATCATCACAATTTATTCTGTTGATCTATATACGATACTTTTTTGGTGTCCCTATTTAACGCGTAGTTTATTTCATTCAATCTACTAGTGAACTAATATTTGTATGCTCAAAATTTTTTTTTTAGACAGATAACATATCTAAATGAGCCATAAACAAAAACAATGCATCTCTTTTAAAGAAAAATCTGTTCATAATAAGAATGATTTTTTTTTAAATTTAGTTTTGAATTGTTATTTGTTTTTAAATAGACTAATTCCATTAATAAAATATATTTAAGATTATTTTGTTATTAAAGAATATATGTCACTCTCTATATATTTAGTTAAGGTTAAAAATGACTTTTAATTTTGATCTTGAATATAGCTCCAATTCCAACACTGAAAGTTTCACAGATACCTCCAAAAAAACAAGATAGTGAATTTGAATCAAAACTACAAGAAATTATGAAAATGAATGGTATTTTAAATATTAATGGTCAGAGGTATCAAACTGAAATGAAAGATTTAGAACATCTAGGTGAATTGGGAAATGGTACCTGTGGACATGTTGTTAAAATGAGACATAAACCTAGTGGTGTACTCATTGCTGTTAAACAAATGAGACGTTCTGGTAATGCAGAAGAGAATAAAAGGATAATTATGGATCTTGACGTGGTATTAAAATCACATGATTGTCCATATATTGTGCAATGTTTGGGTTGCTTTATCACTGAATCTGATGTATGGATTTGTATGGAACTAATGGCAACTTGTTTAGATAAATTACTAAAAAGAACTAGGCAAGCAATGCCAGAAGAATTTTTAGGAAAAGTTACAGTAGCAGTAAGTGACATTATAAATCTTATATTTATTTTAATTTTATTCAAAGGATTATTTATGTAAAAAAATTATATTTTTGCAGACAGTAAAAGCATTATCATATTTAAAAGAAAAACATGGTGTAATTCACAGAGATGTAAAACCTAGCAATATTCTTCTTGATGAAAGAGGAGGAGTTAAATTATGTGATTTTGGTATATCTGGCAGATTAGTTGATAGTAAAGCAAAAACTAGAAGTGCAGGATGTGCTGCTTATATGGCTGTCAGTATATAATCTAATCTTTGTTATGCTAAAATTTGAAATTTTTTTATAACATGTTACTATACTTTTATAGCCTGAAAGAATTGATCCTCCAGATCCAACAAAGCCAGATTATGATATAAGAGCTGATGTTTGGAGCTTGGGTATCACTTTAGTTGAATTAGCTACAGGAATATTTCCTTACAGAGATTGTAAGACTGATTTTGAGGTAAACTGAATAAACTGAGCAGTATTTAAAATGATTATTATATTTATATGAATGTGTTTAAAATGATTATTATACTTATATGAATATGTTTCAAATGATTATTATATTTATATGAATGTGTTTAAAATGATTATTATATTTATATGAATTTGTAGGTACTGAGCAGGGTAGTGCAAGATGACCCTCCTTCCCTTCCATCAGATGCACTTTTTTCAAAAGAATTTAGAAATTTTGTGAGTTGTTGCCTTACAAAAAATTATAAACATCGTCCGAAATATCATAAACTCATGGAACATCCTTTTATCCGAAAATATGATATACCACAAGATGAAGAAACAAACTCCTCAGTTCTCAATACTGGTTGCCAATGGTTTGGCAGAGTTATGCAGCAATTAGAACCAAGGTAAAATCTGAATATATAAATATATGTTAATATTAAAAAATAATTTTCTAGCTATTATATAGAAAATTTTCGATTAAAAAAAAATATGAGACTGTAAGAAATATAGAATTTGCTATTAGAATCCGCTAGAAAAAATCATACTATAGAAAATAAATAGAGTTTTAAACATGGCATGAAATTCCCAACTAATATTATAATGATTTGGTTTGGTTTGAAAATAACCGGGTATTGTTCTTTTATATTAGTTTTAAAAATTTTTAACACACTTCAGCATTCATGGTATTAATGGGTAGGTATTAAAACGGCTCGAAAAATTATGCTGTTTTAAAGTTGGATTTTTGTTGGATATTAGTTTTTATATATTTATCTTTTGTTCATTGCCAAACGATATTTACAACCTATCCATACATTTCGATTAAAAGTTTGCGTGCGTGTTAAATTGTGTTGCAGCGTTGAGCTTGAGGGAGGCAGCGCAGCATAGCATCTCCTCTCCCTCGCCCCTGCTCTTTCTTCCATTTTCCTTAAAAATTTATCCATAAACTCCGAAAAATTTAAAAAAAATACACCTCACAATTATCCAAAAATCTGCCCGATTTTCATTTCGAGTTGTTTGGTTTGTGCACGCGCCTGTTACACACCCCACCCTTCAACCCCTACTCATGGTAAGCATTGTTTTTATTTATTTGAATATTCGTTTATTTATTTTATGTTTATGTAGCGATTTGCCAGTGGCACAAATAAGTTTTTCCTGTGCACACTCCAGTCATTATAAAATAGTTATATTTGTATTTTTATCTTTGTTTTAAATATTAGAAAATATCAATTAAACATTCTATTCGTTTTAGCATGTAATGTTTTGAATTTTCTGTTTTTAAGCACAGATATTCTTTATCTTGATCTTTACCTTGGTAAAAATTCCTTTATCCTCATTTATGTTGCATGATTCTATGATTAACGTTCTAACTTCTATTAACCTTCTATAAACTCAAGTTTTTTACAGAATCAACATAATACAATTATCTTGGATGCCAGTGACATTTTTTATATGATTCAGTCTACTTTTGGAGATCAGTATTTCTTTTTCTATATTATATAATATTATAATTTAATATTATGAAATTCAGTTTCAGATTGCCAGGGTGGCAGCAACGAGTTACGGGTCATGTATCTTTAAAACAAACAGCTCATCTGAGGGCTCAGTCCGAAGTACCAGCTTTCCTACGAAGCAATGTTACCAAAGACTCGCAGAACTCTAGCTTTTTACCATTTCATCAACGATCAAATAGTGAGAATGGTGCGAACTATGTATCTTATAGTCCATACGCACTTAGACGAAAGGAAATTTCTAGGCCGTTTTCTCCTCCTTCGTCCAATGATATGGATACATCGGAAACGAATTTTCAACGACCGTATTCACCATACAGACAACGTGTTGATCAAAATAGGGATTATTCTTCGAATCATTGTTCTCTTAATGGACAAGGTAGGCAAGAAGGAAGACCGTTCTCTCCTTACCGACAGGATACTAGTACGATAGAGTCAGGAAATAGGCTTTATTCACCATATCATGGACGCTTCACGGAAGATCGAGACACTAGCAAAGAAAGATGGCAAGGTGTCTCTAGATCTTTAAGTCCATTTGCTCGTGATTATTCACCTTGGAGAAGAGAAAACGTTGATCCTCCAAATGTAATACAAGCAACCGAAAGTGGGCGCTATTCTCCATTTCTTCAACAACGATTAGGACAAACTCCATCTGTGCCTCAAACTCATTCACAAACGCAAGATATTTATGGTAGTCCTATGATTAGTCGTAAAAGGTGAGTAACGACAAATTTTGTAATTTATTATGATAACGTATTACGATAACGTTATTATGATAACGATTAATAACGTAATTATTATTTATGTTTCATTTTCCTTAATAGGTTTCCTTCTGAACCTCCTCCGCAGGGATCTCATGGTTCTACTAGCCCTGAATTGTTAATTTCTCGTTTTGCTCATCAATTGAAGCAAGATCCTTCACCTGTTATGCCAGCTGTCCAGGGTGGATCCAAAGAATCTGCTAAGAAGCGTTTTGCTTCTTATGTCCGTCTTAGGCTTGGAAGCGAACGTGCTCCTTCGCCAGAACCACCGCCGAGATTAAGTCGCGGTGAATCTCCTCTTGCCCTTAGAAGAAATTTAATAGACCAAGCTTCTCCTTCTTTCGCACGAAGGTATTACTTTTATTGGCTTTAATCACGTATAAAATATAGTTTTCTTTTTACAATTTTTTTACAATTTTTTTCAATTTATATATTCTCTTTAAGGTATGTTTCATCTTCTCCACCTCAACCTCCCCCAAGAAGATTATCGGAAAGCAATTCCGTACCTGGTAGCCCTCAACATGTACGAGCTCGACTACGTTACACTCCCGAACCTCAGAGGAGACCTCCGCCTCCATAACCCACCGTTACGATTAAATCATATTTCTTGTTGGTGCCATATGCGATAAAAATAATTGAATTAATCACATGTATGGTGTTATAATCAACGATGGTTGTGCACATAAGTGATCTGTGCATACTGTACTTTAAAACAGTTCTAAACCAAAAAATAATTGTTTGTAATACTCAGTGATATTGTGAATTCTGATGTACGTATTTTAAGAAAAGGACTTGAATACGTATTATGTATGATGTTATTATCGAACATTGAATATTGTTCGCAAGCACGAAAAGAAGAATTAGACTTCTAAATTTGAGAGGACGGTCTTTGGGATTCATTTTTGCACGATTTCCGTGGCTGTAACGTATCGCGTTGAACTACTTTGTCAATAACTCTCTTATCGACGTGTATTTATATAGAATGCAATCACTGATGCAATATGATGCTCAACTTTTTATATCGCTTGTAAAGATATAAATAAATGTAGTATGTTCGACGTTTTTCTAAAAAAAAAGTGACAAAAGTAAAATAAAAAAATTAGAAAAAAATAAAAAACTAAAAGATAAAAGAAAATCTTTGTTAGGAGATGCGGCATCGTACTGAACGCGTAAACCGTTCCTATCATTCTTCGTTTACGCTTCTTTTCGTACCGAGAGACAAACGAGTATGTGAAACCAAACTTGTAAAGCAGTTCTCTCTTCCTTGGGCGGCCTTGCAGTATCTCTGCAACTCGACTTAGTAATAGCGATATTTTTCTCATTTCGTTATCGTTTGTAAAATAAAAATGCGTACAGCAATCACTGGATCGATTGAATGAAAACCAAATTATAAAAACTAGTAACGACGTCTCCATAAGGAAAGCACAATATTCACGTCTCTTAAATGCTACGAGATTCAACAAATGTATATTATTTAAAATAAGAGGCGTGTTTGGGCTAGTACGTTGTAATTATTATTTTTAATTAACATTTATTCATTAATTTTGTTCAGTCTCACTCGTAATCACCTTTGTCGCTTATTTGACAAAAGGATCTGTTGCAATGTAAATAAACTTATATTTATACGATATTATTGATTTGTTTCATGTACCTTGCATTAATATTAGCATAGCTCATGATTAATTCATTAACAAACTATTTACCTCGCATTGACTGACGCTGCCATTTATTAGTTACAATGTATTTTTATCGTGTATTGCCACGTAACGTTAAGCAATTTCTTTTTGTCACGCGCTCATGCGTGATGCCATTATTATATTATAATGATTTCATTTAGTTACAGTAATTTCATTTTTTATTTTATTGTGAATATTAGTAATTATATTAAAATTCTATATTACGAACCTTAATTTATAATCTGTTTGTAATAAAATGATACTACGTTAGTTTTACTTTTTTTATGTATGTAGATTAATATATGGAAACAGCAACAATGAGATTTTCTAAAATTATTAAATTGAAATGTTACATAAAATCAAAAATAATAAACTAATTTTCAGATTTGAAGTATAATTAAATTCATTTTTAATTTCATTTTTAATGAAAAATAAATTTCACTAAAAAGTGAAATTATTGTAAAATATTCTTTTGAACTATAAAGTAATGAATTAGTAACGAATTCATTATCTTTTTCGTTTTCAATGTGTGAGTGCATAAACTTATGATCGTACATTATATAGTTATACATATTATAAATTTTTTATATAAATTCATATATTAATATTATTTACAAGCAATATAATATATAGAAAATATTATATAATTTTTGAAAACTAAGAGAGAGTATATTTTGTACGAAAAGGGCTTGTCGAAGATCATTTTAAAAATAAATTCTTCACTCGAATCGGCCGTCCCTGAGTAATCAATATGGCCTCCAGGTCTACGCGGGGCACGCTAGCGTAGTGTAGATATTTCTCCAAAAATCTTTAGAACAAATAACTTCTGTGATAATATAATTAGTCAAGCTGTTAAAAGGTGTATGGAGAAGTATTTTCATGGTGTTTACTGTTATATCAGTGATAGTATTCAGTCAGAAAGAAATTTAGAAGGCATTCTATTGCCGTTATAGCTATTTGCACTTTGCAGAAGACATCGTCAACGTTACAGTACAATTCGATAGTCGTTCGGTGTTTAGCGATTAATTTATTGGCCATCGGATTTTATAATGAAGTGGCATTTTAAATGTAAGAATTCATAGTTTCCAGTTAAAATCTATTATTATGTCGGAGAATAAGAGCAAAGAAGATGCCACGATGGAGGGTTGTCAAGAAGGGGGCGAAGAGGATGATATGGCTGCCGAGAGGGTCGAAGATAAGGTCAGTATCCAACAGATCCTCGAGGGTATGACGAATGAATTTAACAAAAGTGTGAGTCCCGTAAAAAATGCAGAAATTAATCGATCAGAAAAGTTGGAACACAAGGAGATCGAAAAACCGGTGACGCCTCTTGACGAAATGCCATCAGTTGAGAAAGAAAATGCAAGTGATAAGGATGCAGAAGATATTGTAGTTAAACAAAATGCTACGGAATCAATGTCGACGGATGAAAATTATAAAGAAGATGAAAATACTGGAAAACAGGAAACTTTGAAAAAAGATAATGGAATTCCACGTATTGTTCTTACATTCAGAACAATCGATGAAAACACCGATCATGGAAAAAAGACCAAGATATCAAGTTGCTCTTCCAACCTTACTTTAGTTCCTGATGAATTGGCAAATTGTGACCAAATTGGTGGTGTTTCTGTCAAGATTGAGAACTCAGATGAAAACTCCGACACTATTGAGAAATCAGATTCAGAGGAAGGTAGAATAGAAGAGCCAGTTAAAGAATCTAAAAGTAAGGAATCAGAAGAAAATACACAAGAGTCAAAATCACCAAAGGAAGATGCCAGCGTTATAACAGAAAACAAAAACACTATTCCTAATGAAAAAACAAAGACTGATGAACCAGATACTTCAACAGAACCTACAGAACAAATGGATCAAGCAGACAGCATAGTTCCAGTTACAAGGAAAAGAAGAACAGGACGACCTAGATTAAGAGCACTTAGGTTTTTTATTTTCTTTCATTTTAAATATGTAAAATATTATGCATAATATTTGTAAACATTCCATAAAATTTTTAGTGATCACATTGAAGAACCTCCAGGTCCTAAACGTTCGGCTAGAAGATTATGTAAAGAAACATTGAAGAGTACTGTATTAGAAAATGCAATGGCAAGAAAAGAGAAATCTAATTATACAGAAGAAAATTTGCAATTTAAGAAACAGAGGAAATATAATAAACCAGGAAGACCTAAGAAAGTGATACAAGGAAAAGATCAAAATAAACAATTGCAAACTAAACCTCCTGATATACGTCAGGAATTAGAATCCTCTATTTTAGATGGAAATATTACTATTTCTGAGGTAAATTCATCATTAGAATACTCTAGAAATTCTACCATATCAGAAAACAATACAAATGAAACAATATTGGATGAATCACAAAATTTTTTATCTGATTTTGATGGTATGCCAAAATTGTCTCCTATGATAAAAAGTTCAGAGTCACAGACAAAACTAGGAAACTCAATTGGAAATTCCTCAAATGATGACATATCTCTAATGGATATTGAAAAGCCATTTCTAAAACCTGCTACTGGTAGACCTAAACGAGAAAGAGGAAGACCCAGAGGAAGTCAAGCTGCAAGAAAAATAGCTAAAGCAGATTCATTTGAAGGTATAAAAAGAAATGTAAGATGTTGATACTTCTGTTATATTTTTTATAGTATAATATTTTTATGTTTTTTTAGATGGATCTGTATCAGTTGCAGAAACAGGCAAAAACAATGATTATCCTGAAGGTAATATTTCAAAATTTGTTAATATAAGTATTACAAAAAGTAATTATGTTTATATAATTGCAGAAAGCACAGTACCTGCTAAAAGGACAAGGAGAAGTATGGCTCCAAGTCCAAGTCCTGCAGAAGGACAAGCTTCAAAGCCAGAATCAACAGCAGTTATGAGCGAAGTTGGTATAATCATATAGTATAATTAATATTTTCTTATTTAAGATATTTCATAATATTTTTCGTTATAATATTTTTCAGACATATGGTCAAGCAATGCTGTGTTTATGTCAAGTAAGGTCTCAACTATATGTAACAATAACGGGCTCTGGAGCACCATTATATTGTACTGCAATAGATTCTATCGATAATCGATTGATAGGATGTTGTAATGAAGTTGATAGCAATGATGTAGCAATGAGGAGACCGAGTACACGTGTTCCTTTTATTATTTTATGTCGAGTACACAAAGAAAGGCTTTTAAGGCATAATTGCTGTCCTTCTTGTGGACTGTTTTGTTCACAAGGAAGATTTGTGCAATGTATTAATGGTCATCAATATCATCGTGAATGTGAGATTTATCCAAATAAAAAGGGTGTATGTCCACATTGTGGAAATGAAACTACAGCATATGATGTAATGGTGACTATGAGTGGTTTAAGAAAACCTGTATTCATTCCAACCCGAAAGAAATTCTCAAAACTGCCTTCTGCAAAAATGAGTTTACCAGGTAAAGGTGATAACACAAAATTAGCAGAACGTCCTCCAAGTCCTCTGATTCAACCAGATATCATTAAAATACCTGAGCCATCTGTTAATTCTGAGAGACCAGAACGTTATACTATCATGAGTCTTTATACATCTGTAAAGAATGGAGATTTGGAAAAGCTAGTTAACGTTTTAGGTGCGTTATTATATCATTTTTGCTTTGAAATTATGAGAAATGACATGTATATTATTCTATTGTTTTAGCATGCGGATATAATGCAAATCATACATTCCGAGATTATGCTCATCGGACTGGCCTTCATATAGCCGCGGATAAAGGTCACTTGTCTTGTGTACATGTACTGGTACAAGCTGGCGCTCAATTAGACGTGATGGACAGAAATCAATTAACACCTTTAATGTTAGCTGCTAGTAAAGGTAAAGCTGATGTGGTAAAATATTTGATAAAGATAGGTGCTGATGTTACATTGAAAGGGGAAGATGGTATGACTGCTTTGCACATGGCTGCTAAATCTGGTCATTTAGAAGTCTGTAGAATAATATTAACAGAATGTAAAGCACCAAGAACATTAGTAGGTAATTAAATTTTTATTAAAGTAATGTTATATTGTTTGAATTAGTTTAGTATTATACGTAACAATAATTATTTATGTTCTATTAGATTCAGTGGATGATGGTGGATGGACTAGTTTAATTTGGGCCTGTGAGTTTTGTCATACCGATGTTGCGCGGTTTCTGTTGGATAAAAAATGTGATCCATTAATTCGAGATGCAGAACAAAATATAGCATTACATTGGAGTGCTTTCAGCGGAAGTTCAGAAATCACAGAAATGCTACTTAATGAAGGATGTGACGTGAACGCCGTCAACGTCCATGGGGATACACCTTTGTAAGTCTTTTAATAATTATGTAATTAAAATAATTAAATTTTTATATAATATTTAATGATGTTACAGACATATAGCTGCAAGGCAAGATCAGTACGCAGTTAGCGTCCTTTTATTAGCTCGCGGTGCTAAAATAGGAGAAGTTAATGCTGCAGGAGAAACAGCAGTAAATTGCTGTACAAATGATGGTGATACTATGTCTGCTTTAAGATTAAATGCCAAAGTTAATGAACTCTCTGAACATATGTGGGAAAAAACAGTCAAAATATTAACCAAGTAATTATTAGATTGAATTATATTGAATTATATTTTTATCTTTAATAGAGAAATATTAATGACGTCTTCTCAATGATTTCTTTCTATAGTGATATTTCACGTGGTAAAGAGACAAATCCAATACAGTGTGTGAATGGGTACGATTCGGAAGATAAGCCAACAGATTTTCTTTACGTAACTGAAAATTGTTTTACTAGTAATATAAATGTTGATCGCACGATAACGTCCTTACAATCTTGTCGATGTGAAGATAATTGTAGTTCAGAGAAATGTTTGTGTGGAAACATAAGTTTAAGATGTTGGTATGATGAAGAAGGAAAATTAATTCCTGAATTTAATTATGCAGGTATATTAATTACACTTCCTAATTATTATGTTTGTAACATATTTAGATGTTTTTTTCTTTATCTAGACCCCCCAATGTTATTTGAATGCAATCCAGCGTGTGATTGTAATCGCATAACATGTAATAATCGCGTTGTTCAGTATGGTCTAACACAAAGATTTCAATTATTTCGAACGAAAGGTAAAGGATGGGGACTTAGAACGCTACGGCACATTCCGAAAGGTTCCTATGTATGTGAATATGTTGGTGAGATTATTTCAGACTCTGAAGCAGATCATCGAGAAGATGATTCTTATTTATTTGATTTAGACAATAGAGTAAGTATCGAATATTTTGTATTTGTACAATACAAATCGAATACTTCAATTCACAATTAAATGTTGTACGCATATAGGATGGAGAAACATATTGTATCGATGCGAGACGGTATGGAAACATTGCTCGTTTTATAAATCATTCTTGCGCGCCCAATCTCTTGCCAGTACGAGTGTTTGTTGAGCATCAGGATCTGCATTTTCCTAGAATAGCATTTTTTGCGAATCGCGACATCGAGGCAGATGAAGAGCTCGGGTATGTTAAAAAAAAACGATTGGCACGTGGAA